AGAAAGGGAATAGCGAAATGATTTCATGCAATTCCTTTGCACACTCTAGCGTGGAAAAGGTTTTTGAAATTCGAACTTGACGATAGCTTGTGGTGCACTTAACTTTTTTTCCGATGAAAACAAAAAAAAAGATAATGACACGTTCAACGACACGATTTTTGTACATTACTTATTTATGTAATATAAATCCGGTGGTATATTTTATTCTTATTATTGTTGAAATTAAATTGACAATAATAACTAATTTATTAAATTATTTTAATTCGTCGAAGAACTAAAATAATTTCAATAATCACTTAATCACACAAAATTTATTTAAGTTCACACCAGGCAGTAATTTATAGTTTTATTTTATTTTTGTCAAACCTACTAACACTAGTTCTAAGATAACTTGTAACTAACTCTATGGGCTTAAGCCTGAAATAAAAGTTTTATTATTATTATATTATTATTATTAAGTACATGCAAGAATAACAAATGATGAGGTGCAAATTCATAACGCATCCGAAGATATTTTTTTTTCTTTTGAATTATAAAACTGATGTTTTATCGTTCAACTGTTTTTCTTTCATCTACCATTTTCCTCGCTATGGTGAGGTGAAAAGTTGTGTGTTTCGCTGGACTGCAAAGTTTTTTTGCGTCTCGGGCCTTGGAACCCTCGCTACGCTCAGGAATCTGAGCTTCCTTCCCTTGCTCAGGTTGCAATACAAGCCTTGCATAACAAATAACTATTTGTGTACTGGATAATTTTTGCACAATGACGGTTAATTAATAGGACACAGGGCTTTATTGCAGTCAAAAGTAGTAAGACTTTAACAAGCTTTCAAGTTGGCCCATTTGCATAATAAGTAAAGAACTCAACGAAGACTTTAAAGCTGATAGGAAAAGTTTACAAATTTGATACCGACTTCATCAGTAGCTGCATTGAAGTAAGCTATGTGTCTGCGGTGTTTCTATATTTTTAAAATATCTATTTTACCCATTAACAGTATTAAATGTGTACCATATTTGGGTGTATTGCCAAAAATGTATAATTATTATCAAGAAGTTTTTAGTAACAGAAGAGAGTGAAGTACTGCCATCTCTACCACCTTTAATCCTACTCGGTTTTGAAGGGTAAGGGTGCTGGTGAATAGGCGTGTAGCTTACGACTGTTTGTTCCGTCACTTAGCGTCATAAAAAAGTATGTAGAAGAATAACTTAGTGATAATATTTTTTTATAAAAGATAATGCTATATTCTATTCTAACTGAAACATAATATTTAAGAAATCGTGCTATTACAAAAATAAAATTTAAAATACGTGTTAGATTATCGAAACAATTAAATTTCCAACTTACAAATTATTATAATTTTGTTTTCGAGATTATAATATTGTTTTCGAGAGATATCACGAATCGTCTCGCTCGCAGGTTTGACGACTTCCAACCTTCCGAAAAAGCCGGTTTCCGAAAGGTACTATAAATAAATAAATAAATAAATAAAAAGACATTTATTTATCCACAAAATACACATAAAACTAGTACAAATAATAACACACCGACAACTAAAACAGAAATGTGAATAAAAAGGTTGAAGACTCAGCATTGCTGATTTTCAGTCTACACCTAAAACTATATCTATTCGCTTGCTACATCCGACCGGCAAACGGAGCACTAAATATTTAATTTATACTTAAGGTTTTTAACTAATCGGTAACTAAACAAATAAATACTACTGAATATTTAATGTATAATGTAGTAATGACACTCGGTTACTACTTACATAACTAATGAAACATAGAGGCTGTCTGTGTTGCACTTAAAAACTATAAACCACATACATACGCTGCAGGTTATACAGAAGACCGAGGAGTATAACGGGCCACTTTGCTTAGCGTTTGTGGACTATGAGAAGGCCTTTGATTCGATCGAGACCTGGGCGGTGCTGCAGTCTCTCCAAAGGTGCCAAGTAGACGATAGGTACATCGAGGTGTTAAGGTACTTGTACAAAAACGCCACTATGTCATTCCGATTACAGGATCAGAGCTCTAATCCTATCCAACTGCAACGAGGCGTGAGACAGGGAGATGTGATATCTCCGAAACTGTTCACAGCTGCGTTGGAGGATATTTTCAAGCTTCAGGACTGGATTTTGCATCAACATCAATGGCGAGTATCTAACACACCTTCGATTTGCCGATGATATGGCTGAGACCTTGGGAGACCTGAACACAATTCTCGAAGATCTCAGTAGTGTTTCCCAAAGAGTGGGTCTTAAGATGAACATGGACAAGACGAAGATCATGTCGAATGTCCATGTTGTACCCGCTCCAGTTAAAAGTGTAATGCTCCACACTCGAAGTTGTTGACCATTACGTATACCTGGGGCAGACAGTTCAGTTAGGTCCAACTTTGAGAACGAGATCTCTCGTCGAATCCAGCTCGGATGAGCAGCGTTCAGGAAACTACAAAAAATATTTGCGTCCAAATTACCTCGGTGTCTCAGGACGAAAGTCTTTGACCTGTGTGTGTTGCCAGTGATCACATATAGATCAGAAACGTGGTTCCTCACTATGGGGATCAAAAGAAGGCTCAAGGTCACTCAGTGGACAATGGAGAAAGCGATGCTCGGTATTTCCCTACGTGATAGAATCAGAAATGAGGCAATTCGTAGGAAACTAAGGTAACCGACATAGCTGGAAGAATTGCTCGGCTGAAGTGGCAGTGGGCGGGGCGCATAGCCAAGAGAACCGATGGCCATTGGGGCGGAAAGGTTCTTCAATGGCGACCGCGCACCGGACGGCGCTCAGTGGTTAGGCCCCCAACCAGGTAGACCGACGATCTGGTAAAGGTCGCGGGAAGCCCATAGATGCGGGCAGCGCAGGACCGATCGTCGTGGAGATCGTTGGGGCAGGCCTATGCCCAGCAGCGGGCGTCGTATGGCTGAATGATAATGGTGACACAAATTATAAAAAAAACTGCAGTTGAAACTTAATTAAAATTTGCCAGTTGCTTAAAAGACGCATAAGAACACTCCGCTGAGGTACGATAAAGCTCACAATTAAGTTCCTTCAATGAGTTCAAGATGAGCCAAGTTGGAATGAGTTTCCGCCTTCCGTCTATTTGCATAGAGAACATTTTCCTATCTCGAAAACCGAGAAAACTATTTGGTCTTTGTTGGAATCGCATTTTATTACAGCAATGGATTGCACTTTGAACGGCTGTGATACTATACTTAGTTCATGGCTTGGAAGTAAGTTTTAGTGTCTGGAAGTCAGTAAACCGAAAATGCTTTATCAATTTAAAAACGACTTTTTGGTTATTCTCAATAATATTGTGTACGTGATACATCATATTTCACTTGGCAACTTCCGCGTGTTTGTTCTCAGCAATAGTTAAAGGTTATAATTAATGAAACAAAGATTGAAACACTAAGAAACATTCATTCGATCCCGTTGGATTGGAACCAGCACCCTCAGGCAATCCGTGTCAGATGCTCTGCCAATTAAGCCACGGAACGAACCAGTAGACCTTATGAATCTTTCTATGTGCTTATTGCAGATCTTTATTTTTTGGTTTTTATTGCTTTTTTGCCCTAGCGCCATCTGTAAGAAATTATTTCTTCACTCAGAGAGATATACCTTCACAATTACTATCGCTGATTAGAGATGTCGCTTTAGTAATTGTATTTTTTTTTGCCTGAGGGTGCTGCTTTGAATCTAGCCGCATTGAATTAATTTTACTTAGTATTTCGCTCTTTGTTATAATAATTTCATTCTATCTATTATTTCACAAACTAAACTTGAATATCATGGTATTAAACCATTGTGACATTCAATAAACTTATAAATAGTCAAAGGTGTTACTCGTTTCCGTTTTTTTCCTTTTTTGTTGTTAAAAAATGAGACGTCTTGTTCTTCTTGTTCTTAATTTCCTATTGGAGTTTGGACAACATTATTCACCTAAATTCTTTAACTAGGAGTGTCGCCTTCTACCGATATTTCCTTTAGCGTTTTTGCCCTCGAGAATTAAACGTAGTTACCATTTAATTTACTTGATTACGTGTTTACAATTATAGCATGCGATGTGTGTCAGTAATTAACTGTCGCATTTAACATTAAGAAATGTTATATACTTCCCTAGATGTATTTACAGTGTAAGCAGTAGTTGGTAAA